GCAGATTTACCCAATGCAATGTGTCATTTTGAGCTCTTGACTGCTGCATTGACTGTGGATCCAAGAAAGACAAAATCCTTGCCAACTTTCATCTTTTTCCCATTTATCATGATGTTGCCTATTGGTCCAGTTGTGTGAAGATTTGAGTCTTCTTTATATTGGGTTGTAATCCATATTGAAGGCTGCGCCTTCAAGGCCAATCCTTGATCTTCATCAGCAAGGCTTCGAGCACGCACTTTCAGCAAGCAAAGTTGTGTCATCTGTATATCACAGGTCAATGAACCTTCCTCCAATCCTGATGCTGTGTTCTTCATATAATTAAACTTCTCTGACAATTTCCTAGGCACACAGATTGAACAAGTATGGTGAAAGGATACAGCCCGGGCCCACACCTTTCTGATTGGAAACCATGCAGCATTCCCTCGTTCTCTTCACACAGCTGCCTCTTGATCCATGCACAGGCTCCACATGAGCTCACCCAAGTGTTCTGGAATTTCTGCTCTCTCCCTGTCAGTGTGCTGCTGCAACCGTTGTATGATCTTCAGCAAAATTTTACTTGCACAGGACACTGATATAGTTCTATGATTCATTCTAAGATTCAGGTGAAAGGTCAGATAAAAAGCTTGCTTCCTGTGCTCTTCGTCCTCACCTTCCTGACCAGGATCTGGTAGTTCCCTGGAGAATTTTGCAGGACTTCAGTGAGTAATCACTGTTTTCACAGTGCTGAGAAGTGGTGAGTGGGGAGTGGGTAGAAGTCTTGACAGGCTTCCTGACAGGAGGAGTCAGGGATGTTCCAGAAAGACTGTTCCACTCACGCTGATCTCCAGAGACTTCAGAAGAGTAGCCTCCCCCACTCTACTGTGTCCTTCTGGACGCAGAGACGGCACTTGGCCAATTGTTATGATCTCACCCATTGAGGAATGGAATTTTCCCATGTTGTCCGGATTCACCTTTAAGTGCAAAGAGTCACGCCCTATTTCTTGGATTTCATCTTTTTCTGTGTCCTCCAGTCACTGATTTGAGAGGGGT